CAGGATAAACACAGTTAAGAAAGTAATATCACAATGGACCATTCACCAATTAACCAAAATTTTGATCTCAACAAGTCTAGACAAAATTCCATCATAGCATGAAAGAGCATCACAAAATTAGTAATATTTCAAAGTTTCGTTGCGAAATGTTGCAAAATGCGGATAATATAGCCTTGCGAAATTTGCAATTTTCAGTCATTTTAGATTACAAACGGGAAATGGTCACCACTTTTTCAAAATTTTGATCTTAACTAGCCTAAACAAAAATTTCATCACAGCTTGAAAGAGTATCACAAAATTAGTAATATTTCAAAGTTTCGTTGCAAAGTGTTGTAAAATGCAGATAATATAGCCTTGGGAAGTTTGTAATTTTCAGTCATTTTGTATTACGCACAGAAGTGGTAACCATTTCCCGTTTGTAATCTAAAATGACTGAAAATTGCAAACTTCGCAAAGCTATATTATCCGCATTTTACAACATTTTGCAACGAAACTTTGGAATATTACTAATTTTGTGATGCTCTTTCCAGCTGTGATGAAATTTTTGTCCAGACTTGTTGAGTTCAAAATTTTGGTTAATTGGGGAATGGTCCATTGTTGTACAAAGATAAAATAGTCTATAAGCTAAGTATGTAATTAGGTAAGCGTATAATATTTGATGTAAAGGGCATTTGATCATATATTCATATGTAAATTTACGCGATAGAAATGTTAATACGCAACAGACCTTTCTATTTCAATCTGATGTTCGCAATCTTCTTTCATTCGACGAGACGCTTCACGAAGTTCCACCATCTTTCGTTCATGTTCTCGTCTTTGTTCCTCTTTCATTCTCAACAGCTGTTTAATTTGAAAAGATAACGAAGAAATATACAGGGCGTTCCAAAAAGACACTATATTTTGCAGTACTAATACGATTTATTATTGATAGAAATGCCTATAATTTGCTGTTATGGGACAAAAATGAAGGAAAAGTGTACGAAGGATACAGCATTTTATTCATTTTATTTGACCTTACAATTTTATTCATTTGATTATAATATATACAATGTTTTTCATACATCATTCAATTTTTCAAGCACTCCCTTGATCACTGTCAGAGTTAGTGCGAAACAATTTTTCATATACATCGTTTTCTAACTGTACATACTGTAGCTCTATTAAAATTGATCCAACGAGAATCAATTTTCTGAATCTTTTAGGGGCGGACCGTTAGAAAAGTGATGGCCGGGGGGGGGGGCAAAAAATTCGCGCAAAGGAAAACAAAGGAAAAAACACTCGTTCAAAGAGGGAAAGCAAAGAAAAATACCTTAAAAAATCGTGAAAGCCGAAAAGTCTCCCCCCCCCGGCCCCCTCCATCACTTTTCTAAAAGTCTGCCCCTTAGAATCTTTATTTTAACAAGAATTACATTAACTGATTAACTAAAATTGCATAATACAGCAAATATATTACATAATATACAGCACAAATAAAGCCCGATTTATATTTGATAAGCAGGTTGCATGCGACAGTGTTAGACAAAAGTTGTGTAGAGTAAATCGGGCCTTAACATTGGGTATTAAATTATTTTCTTGATTACTATATATTTACAAGTATATAGATACAATATTAAAGTGTTGAAAAAATCACATAAAGTCAACATTATTTACAAATAAACTGCTAAAATTTAGGGCAATCGTTGACGTTGGAATCCTGACTAGTGTACACCTTTTTGTGCACCACATGCAACACAAACGTTTAAAAGGTCTATTCCGTTTATAGCTCACTTTTTCCACATCCTGTGAATATCATGATGGTTAAGAGCAAAGAGATTTAAGGGTCTTCAAAGCTTCTTTTCTGAGCAATTTCTTCGTCCAAAAGAATATCACTGAATTGATGCTTGAATTTAAAATGATTGATGTAATTGACCAGCTACGATACACAGTAAAATAAACACTAACACCAGTAAAGAAGACCCTGGACAGTACGAAAGGTAGCAAGAAAAGAGCAAAACAGATAACGATAAGGAAGCAAGATCTTGCATGCCGGCTATCGCGAAAAAATTGCTTTTTTATAACATTTTCATTTCCATCACTTTCGCGGGCTGGTCTTTTTTGGGAACGAATTAGCTTTCGTATCACAAGATATATTCTCGTGTAAACGAATCCAGTAAAAAGGAAAAATACCACAATCAATTCCCTTCCGACAATTCTGATTACTATGCGATCACGGAATGAATAAGCAATTGCTGAAAATAGAACAAATCCACTTCCACACACATAGATCAAAATTCGTTTCTTTGTCACTTTGGTTTGGTAGTGGTAAGGATGGATCACTCCAATGTATCTCTCCATTGTCATTGCAGATAGTGTTATCATTGACAATACACAAGTTAGGTGTGTGTTTCGAAAGGCCAGAACGATGAAAGTGCAATTCGCAGTATACAGGAAAGGAAACAACAAATAGTAGATGAAAATGGGTATACCTAGAACACCAACGCCTAAGTCGACGACGGATTGAAGAAGGATAGGGAAGTAGCAGACTTTGCTTCTGAGTTGAGACGATTTCCTTATTGTTATTACTGAGATTCCGTTTAATAATATCGTTGTGAAAAACAAGATGCAGTTGATAACAAGCACTGCAATTCGATAACTTTCATACTTTCCGTTTGGAAATTGGCTTAGAACGACATGAAAATTCTCTCCCACTTTGCATGTTGTCAAAAAAGTATCATTTGTTTCGCTTTCATTCATTATTTATGATGGGAATGGTAAGCCTGTTGCCCAGTTGCTGCACAGCGTTTTATATCATGTCACACAGCAAACTCAGAAAGAACTAAAACAAAGTATTGACCATGAACCATGCACAAGCGATACTTCAGCTGAAAAGTAAAACTGTTAATTGATGGGATTTCACATGAAGACACTTTATATTGTCTTAGTAAAACGACAGATGCTTGGGTATAATTATAAGCATCCGGTGTGTTATTCAATATATTTTAATTTAAAGTAGTTTATTTAAAATAATACATAGTAAGACTGTTAAATTGATGGAACATTTACATGAAGACACCTTATATTGCTTTTTATCAATGCAATTTTAAATTGCCCTTGATATTTAATTAAAACCCAAAAAAATACGTATAGAACTAAGTTACTGACATTTCTTGCAAAAATATTACATGCGTATAAGAATATATACATGAAAATTACTGCATGGATTCAGATTGGCTAAAAGCAGGGATATTTTTTTGAAATTGTACATATATTGTGCAATTTAACAAGACAAGAGCAGAACCTGGAAACGAGACAAATAAAATGAACATGGCGGCAGATATATAGCAATGTAATTTTTTATTTTCTGACGACGTTTTTGTTTACTTTTAACTGAAAATCTTACGTTAATTTAACAACTTTAAATACAAGGAGCACATATAGACTGAAAAAGTTTGCAAACAAGAAATGAAAACAATGAAAGCTTAAACGCCGCAGGTGCATGAGTACGAAAAATTGTTCTCCAAGAGTGTAATATTGTCATGAATATCATTAATAAGTAATAGTGTGTTTTATCGTCCAATTTCGAAAAACATTTTTTATCCTCTTCGAAAAACTCACTCGTGCAAATTTTATTCCAAATTGCACTCGAAGCCATACTATTATCTGTACAAACAATTACGCTAAATACATTTTTTATCTCTTTTCCTGTAGCATACAACAAGCGGAATTAGTACCATCGCCCCATCGCCCGAGGCTATCGCGAAACCAAACTGGGGGTGTAAAGTCCAAATTACCTGATTTTCTAAATCACTTTTTACGTTACCTCAAAGCAGTTTTTGAAATTTAGTGTGGTTTTTTCATGAGTGAATTCAAGTAGCAGGATTGATCATATCATGAGATACCAAAATGAGGTTGGGATACGGGGCTAAGTGTACTAGGGGATTCGGGGGGAATGGGCCCCAATAAAATTTTGAATATTTAGATACTCAGGAAACCAAGAAATGCAACTAAAATTCTTAGCTTGCTTTCCATTTTAACGTCCACGTTTGCCAGTCAATGCTATACTATATAATTTACCTGTACATCAGAAAGAATCACCCAGAAATTTCCCTGAAATTACTCATACACCCTCCCCCCGGTCGCTGCGTCCCTGTATGAATCGTTTTCTATCTGTACTGTAGCTTTGAATTGATTCAACGAGAATCAACACTTGGCGTTTTTACTGAAACTTTTAGAATCTTTATTTTAACAAGAATTACATGCATGAACTAATTAACTAAAATTCAGATATTACATAGTGCAGCAAAAGTACAACATGGTATTATATAAATTTGTTGATTACTATATATATTTACAAGTATATAGAGACACAATATTGTGAATGTTGGTGAAAATGTAAAACAATAGTTGACGCTGGAATCCTGAAGAATACACTTTCTTTTTGTGCACCAAAACACAAATGTTTTGTTCTTTTATATAGTTCACTTATTTGTGTTTGAAGAACACTTCCTGGGAATATTATGATAGTTACGAGCAAAGAGATTTAAGTGTCTTAAAAGTTTCTTTTCTGAGCAGTGTCTTCGTCCAAAAGAATATCACAGAATTGATACTTGAATTTAAAATGACTGATGTAACTGACCAATTACGATACACAGTAAAATCAACACTAACACCGGAAGGCGAAAGGTAGCAAGAAAAGGGCAAAACAGAAAACGATAAGGAAGCAAGATCTTGCATGCCGGCTTTCGCGTAAAATTTGCTTTTTTGTGATATTTTCATTTCCATCACTTTCGCGGGCTGGTCTTTTTTGAGAACGAATTAGCTTTCGTATCACAAGATATATTCTTGTGTAAACGAATCCAGTAAAAAGGAAAAATACCACAATCAATTCCCTTCTGATGATGCTGAGTACTCTGCGATTACGGAATGAATAAGCAATTATTGAAAATAGAACAAATCCACTTTCAAACACATAGATCAAAATTCGTTTCTTTGTCACTTTGGTTTGGTAGTGGTAAGGATGGATCACTCCAATGTATCTTTCCATTGTCATTGCAGATAGGGTTATCATTGACAATACACAAGTCAGGTGTGTGTTTCGAAAGGCCAGAACGATGAAAGTGCAATTCGCAGTATCCAGGAATGGAAACAACAAATAGTAGATGAAAATGGGTATACCTAGAACACCAACGCCTAAATCGACGACGGATTGAAGAAGGATAGGGAAGTAGCAGACTTTGCTTCTGAGTTGAGACGATTTCCTTATTGTTATTACTGAGATTCCGTTTAATAATATCGTTGTGAAGAACAAGATGCAGTTAAACAAGCACTGCAATTCGATAACTTTCATACTTTTCGTTCGGAAATTGGCTTAGAACGACATGAGAATTTTCCGTAACTTTGCACGTTGTCAAAAAAGTATCATTTATGTCGCTCTCATTCATTATTTATGATGGGAAATGGTAAGCCTGTTGCCCAGTTGCTGCGCAGCGTTTTATATCATGTAACACAGCAAACTCAGAAAGAACTAAAATAAAGTATTGACCATGAACCATGCAAAAGCGATACTTCAGCTGAAAGGTATAAAACTGTTAATTGATGGGATTTTACATAAAGACACTTTATATTGTCTTAGTAAAACGACAGATGCTTGGGTATAATTATAAGCATCCGGTGTGTTATTCAATATATATTTTAATTTAAAGCAGTTTATTTAAAATAATACATAGTAAGACTGTTAAATTGGTGGAATATTTACATGAAAACACCTTATATTGTTTTTTATCAATGCAATTTTAAATTGCCCTTGATATTTAATTAAAACCCTAAAATATACGTATAGTACTAAGTTACGGACATTTCTTGCAAAAATATTACATGCATATAAGAATATAGCTACATGAAAAAATACTGCATGGATTCAGATTGGCTAAAAGCAGGGCAATTTTTTTGAAAGTGTACATTGTGCAATTTAACAAGACAAGAGCAGAACCTGGAAACGAGGCAGATAAAATCAATATGGCGGCAGATATATAGCAATGTAAATTTTCATTTTCTGACGACGTTTTTGTGCACATTTAACTGAAAATCTTACGTTAATTTAACAACCGTTTATTAAATACAAGGAGCACATAAGCTGAAAAAGTTTGCAAACCGAGCAATGAAAACAATGAAAGCTTAAACGGTGCAGGTGGATGCACGAGTACGTATAATTGTCGTCGAAGAGTGTAATAGTGTAATATTTTCATGAATATCATTAATAAGTAATAGTGTGTTTTATCGTCCAATTTGGAAAAACATACTCGCGTGAGTTTTCCAAAGACGGTTTTTTTATCGTCTTCGAAAAACACACTCGTGCATGTTTTATTCCAAATTGCACTCGAAACCATAAAACCATACTATATTATCTGTACAAACAATTACGCTAAATAGATTTTATATCTCCTTTCCTGCATGTATATTAATTATTAGCATATATTTAGGAGGTGGAGCTCCGGATACTCCTTATACTATTCACCTCCGGAACATAATGGCTTCCCGTTCCGGTAAAAGACAAGCAATTTTTTTTGTGTTAATAAACGAACCTACGTTTTCGCCAAACTGACGAAGAAAGCCCAGTGGCGCCGTCGGACTCATGTTTTTTTTTGGGGGGGGGAGGGAAGGCAGTACCTTTTCAACAAAAAATTTTTCCGGACAACAACATTTTAAATCTCTCCCCACTTTTTCCGGGTAAAAAAAATTTTCCGGACAATAACATCACAATTGCTTTCGTAGCACTTTACCCAATTTCCATAGCATTTTTCCCATGCTTCACCACGAAGATTCCGACAACATTGACAATTTTCCGACGGGTCTCAACAATAAGGGAAACCACGGCGCCACTGAGAAAGCCACAAAGTTTCGTTTAACAGTGTATATAGAGGTATTTTTTAATCAATAGATTTCTAATGAATAAAATTACTAAAAAACTTGTAAATACTGTTGTGTTTACAGCTGAATACGAAGCTGATTGTTTTATTAATAAATTATATTTTCGTTGTTTTTTGAACATATAGCTGGGTCAACCTGTCTGTCTCTTCGTCTGCCTCTTCGTCTGCCTCTTCGTCTGTCTATATGCCTATCTTATTTCTGTTTCTGCCTGCATGTCTTGCTTACTTACTTACTCTACACTTCCTATCATATACTTTCTCTTTCTTAATTCATTATTCCATTTAAGAACTTTTAATATACAATTATATATACAAATATGTTTAATATTTAAGTACATAAAATCTAAATTGCTGGCAGGTGCCTAGCACGGGTCCTTTTTCAAGAGTCCCGTTTGTGTCTTGCCTTTTTGGATCTTCGATTTATAAGTTATTAATTCTTATGTAACTGTTATTCTTAGACTAGATAACATATTGTATAAGCATTATTGATCCAAAAAAAATTGTGAAAACAAAACAGTTTGTTGAGCAAGATCGAACAAACTTTACTAGAAACATCAATCTGCCATTTTCCAGCAAACGATTCATTTTTCAAATGAATCGTTCTCCAACTGTACCGTACGTACGCCTCCAAATTGATTCTGTCTTCAGAAATCGCGTTTTAACTGAATATTTAAGGTTATTAACAATAATCACATGAAACAAAATTAACGGTATTACAAAATGCATGAGACATGATTTTTTTTATAACTATTTATTTACAGGCTTAACTATATAGCCATGGTGATGCACCATTTATTTGGTGCACCACAAGACAAACTTTATTTATTCTTTTAACAGTTCACTTGTGTTTATTTGACATTGTGCAAAGGGTGCATGTACAACTGTACGATAAATCATGATAACAATTTCTCAAATTCATTAATAATTCATGAGTAATTAAACCAATAGCATGTAAGCATTCCGTCACAAGATGCTGTTTGGATACCGCGGTCGAACACCGTCAGACACAGTTTAGCTGCATACGTAATTAAGATATTTGATGAAAGTCACTAGTGTTTTCATCAAATATCTTAATTACGCATGCAAAATTACTTGAATAGAATTCCTAATTACGTTATGCTTGGTGAAGAACTCTATTCAAATCAGCAAACGAAAACATTCTGTTACGTCTCGATTCATTTGAGAAGCCATATAAACAACTCGAGCTCGTGTCTCACCGGGATATCCAAACACTCGAAAACAATGTATGAAAACACTCGCGCTTTGTGCTCGTGTTTTGATACATTGTTTTCTCGTGTTTGGATATCCCGGTGAAACACTTGCTCTCGTTGTTCATACATTACGTATACTATTTTAAGTAAAACTGTTTTAAATTCAAATATATTGACCAAAACGACGGATGCTTATAAGTCTATCAAACCATCTGTCGTGCAATTATCTGGTTCCCATCGCGCTTTCACTTCCATTGTTATATCTGCGACGAACAGTAATGAGCGTGTATAATTAACTTAACGCGAAAAGAGGTATAAAAATCTATTAAGAAACATATTCCAGCAATTTAACAGTTTCATTTCTGAGCCACAATATCGCTTGTGAGTTGTGGTTCACACTATATGTTTTATACTTCAGTTCACTGTGTTCTTTGATATAAAACGTTGCAGTGCAAGCAACTGGGCAACACGCTTACAATTTGCCATCATAAATAATGAATGACAGCGAAGAGAATGATGCCTTTTTGACAACGTGCAAATTTGCCGAAACTACTCATGTGATTTTAGATCAATTTCCGAACAAAAAGTACGAAGGTTCTCGAATTGCATTGCTTGTTATCAACAGCATATTGTTGTTCTCAACAATATTATTAAACGGAATCTCAGTAATAACAATAAGAAAATCGTCTCAACTCAGAAGCAAAGTTTGTTACTTCGTCATCTTACTTCAATCTGTCGTCGATTTAGGCGTTGGTTTTCTAGGTATACCTATTTTCATCTATTATTTATTGTTCCCATTTCTGGACAATAACTGCAGTTTAAACATTCTAGCTCTTCGAACCACTTACCTAACTTGTGCATTGTCAACGGCAACACTATCCGCAATGACAATAGAAAGATACATTGGAGTGCTGCATCCTTATTACTACCAAACCAAACTGACAAAAAAACGAATTTTAATCTATGTGTGTGGAAGTGGACTTGCTCTATTTTCAGCAAATGTATATTCATTCCGTGATCACACAGTAACCATAATTGTCCGAATGGGATGGATACTGGCATTTTTCCTTTTTACTGGATTTGTTTACACAAGAATATATCTTGTAATACGAAAGCTAATTCGTTCCGAAAGAAGGCCAGCATGCGAAAGTGATGGAAATCAACATATTACGAAAAGGCAAATTATTCGCGAAAGCCGGCACGCAAGATCTTGCTTTCTTGTCGTTATCTGTTTTGCTCTTTTCTTGCTACCTTTAACACAGGGGACAGTCTTCTTTACCGTCGAAAGTTTTGATTACATTGTGTATCGTAACTGGTCAAGTACATTAGTGATTTTAAATTCAAGCATCAATTCTGTGATATTCTTTTGGACGAAGAAGTTACTCAGAAAAGAAGCTTTTAACACCCTTAAATCTCTTTGCTCGTAACCATCATAATATTCACGGAATGTGGAAAAAGTGAACTATAAAACGGAACAAACCTTTCAAACGTTTGTGTTGTGGTGCACAAAAAGGTGTATACTAGTCAGGATTCCAACGTGAACGATTGCTATAAATTTTAGCGCTTTGTTTGTAAATAATATTGTTTGATTACATTGTGTAGCGTAACTGGTCAATGCATGGATAATTCCAGCTATGGAATAAATTTTGATCTAGGCAAGAAGAACAAAATCCATCACCACAGCTACAGCAAAGAGCATGTTAAAATTAGTGAAATTGCAAAGTTTGGCCGCGAAATGTTGTAAAATGCGGAAAATATAGCCCTGCGAAATTTGCAAATTTTGTATTAATTTGTATTACGCACAGGAAAATGCACCCCATTTGGGTCGAAAGTGATGCATTCTCCCGTGCGTAATACAAATTAATACAAAATTTGCAAATTTCGCAGAACTATATTTTTCGCATTTTACAACATTTCGCGGCCAAACTTTGCTATTTTACTAATTTTAACATGCTCTTTGTAGCTGTGGTGATGGATTTTGGTCTTCTTACCTAGATCAAAATTTAGACTATAGTTGGAATTATCTATTACATTATATATAGTGATTTTAAATTCCAGCATCAATTCTGTGATATTCTTTTGTACGAAGAAATTGCTCAAAAAAGAAGCTTTGGAAGACCCTTGAATCTCTTTGCTCGTATCACCATCATAAGGGACCGGTCATAAAGTAACTGCTAGGGTGGGCTGGAGTGATTTGGGATGGGCCATGGAAAATCTTTGGGTAGTTTCGATGGGCCGCCAATTTTTTGATATGTCCACGGTTGGGCCACCAAACAAAAACCCATGTTAATTATATATTACATAAAGATATTAATAATAAAAGTAAACAAAACTATCCAAATTATCAAATGCAAATGATGCTATTGAAGCCAGTACTTTGTTTTATACTGTACAACAACAAGAAGTGGTCGAATCACAGCAAACAAAACCAACTGGAGAGCAGCTCAGTATCGTAATTCAGGTGATGAATGTGCTGGTCAAGCTTGGTGGAATTACGTATGTCAATACAGTGCCGGTGTGTATTTACAATGTTCATACCTGCAAGTTGTTTTTATTATAAAATTGTATTTTCCCAATTTAGATTGGGTGGGTGGGTCATGAAATAAATTTGGTAAGATTAGATGGGCTTTGAAATTTTTATCTACATCCTAAGATGGGTCACCAAGCTTTTCGGGCAAAATTTGTGATTTACCTCCAGCCCACCCTAGCAGTTACTTTATGACCAGTCCCTAATATTCATATGGGACGTGCATGAAAAAGCCAAAATACTCTTTAAAAACAAACAAGTAAACTACAAAAAAGTTACGTCATAAAGTTTGTGTTTCACTGCGCAAAAGGAAGGTCGACTATTTAGGATTCCAATGATTGGATTTAAATTTCGACGGTTAGTTAGTGAATATTATTGAATATAAATAACTTTTTTCACACAGTCACAATACTGTGACTACAATGTCTGTAAATATATAGGCCTAGTTATGAAGAAATTTAATGTATTGTGTTCTATTAGTTAAAGCATGCAACATAAAAAATCAGTAAAAACGCCAATTCTGATGGAATCAATTAAGAGGTACAGAACAGTTAGAAAACGATGCATATATATGATAAATCGTTTCGCATGAACTCTGACAATGTCCAAAGCGTGCATGTAAAACAGTATATACGATAAATCAATAGCGATGTATACTATTTTAAGTAAAACTGTTTTAAATTCAAATATATTGAACAAAACATCGGATGCTTATAAGTCTATTCAACCATCTGTCGTACAATTATCTGGTTCCCATCGCACTTTCACGTTCATTATATATCTGTGACGAACAGTAATGAGCGTGTAATAATTAATTTAACTCGAAGAGAGGTGTAAAAATCTATTAAGAAACATATCAGACGGGAAAATCTTGAAAGCTCACTCAGTTAGGTTGTATACCTGCTTTAAGTGTCGAAACAAACAGAAAGTGCATGTCTAAATGTACCATGCATGCATATATAGATAGTATTATTTTAGTGTGTTTATGTTTATGTGTATTTATATTAGATATATATTTTTACATCATGTATATACTAGGTGTCCCCGATTAGTAGAACTTTCGGTCGGCTAGAAGATCAGACACATTAATAAAGTTTATCTATATCTACCTATATCTATCTATCTTAAACGCATTAATTCTGTGATATTCTTTTCGATGAAGGCATTGCTCAGGAAAGAAGTTTTTGATGCCCTTAAATATCTTTCCTCGTAACTAAATATCCAGGTGATCTCGGAACTCGGAAAAGGCCTGGCACTAGTTGTAAAATAGAAATCCATTTTTTAAAATTACTCAATATCTCATTAACGGTATTAGATTTCTATCTCAAATTTGTCCCAGGTATTCATTTCCCTGTGCAAGACACAGACACAAAGTTTCAAACAGTTTCACAAAAGAATCAGGGCGTGACAAGTGATTAAAGGTACGAACTGGATTTCTATTCTGTTGCTACTCCCAGTCCTTTTGTTCACCGTCAGATCACCTGAATAATAATACCACGTATTCTCTTTCAGAAATTAAATCTTAGAAATACCTGAATCAGTTGTGCCATAGATTTGCGCTATTTTTTTGAGAGTAACTAATAAGCAAATAATAAATAATAGAATATTTTCCTTGCATGCCTGAATGCGTAATGATATGCAAAAGAAAAACGCTAACTTTGCAAACTGGCAAGTAACAACAGCATCTTATACACCAGAGACACATTTCCTAATTGCATTCGACTCCTGGATGTCCTGCGGAAGCGGTTATAACAGAATTAATCTTGCCTTGGCGTCTTTCTTTTCCGTATTTAGTTCGTCAGTTAAGTGAATAATTCTTCACCAAAAATATCAATCAAGAGAAGAATTCTTCACCCAATTTATTCATTAAAACATCGTTCTTCATCAAAATTATTAAACGAATAATTTTTCATAAAAACTATTTATTAAATTAAGAATTCTTCACCCAAATTATTCTTTAAAAATCATTCTTCACCAAAATTATTCATTAAGTGAATAATTCGTCTCAAAAATGATTCATTAAGCGAATGTTTCATTAAAACTATTAATTAAATGAATGATTCTTCACCCAAATTATTCATTAAATAAATTATATTAAAAGCAAATCATTTTTCATCAAAACTACTTATCAAATGAATAATTCTTCACCAAAAATTATTCAACTAGTGAATAATTCTTCACCAAAATTATTCATATGAATAACATGTACGAATAATAGAAATAAAAATAATAGACACGAGGCGAACAACGTAGTCCATTGTAAAGAAGTCGTTATTGCCAGCCAGCAAATTCGGGAAATGTCTATTCTTCACAACAATGTGAAAAATTCTTTGCATATAACAAAAGTTTTAATGGCTAAAACTTGTCCAGAGAATGGATGTTACAGAGCAAATAATTAAATAAGCATACCTCAGTTTCACTTGCTGATAGCTGTCTTTCTCTCTTCTCTATATCACTGATAGTTTTCTTTAGTTTTTCCTCCAGCTGGGAATATTCTTCAAGCTAAAGATGGAAATCATAATATTACTCACTTTGCATGCGAAATGAAATCAAGATTTATTTTAATTATGTTAGCTTATCACTGTTAAACCAAACTTTCCTATAGTTTTATTGTCATATAATTCATTGTTAAACACTTTCCGTCGGGGACCCTTATTTTTTAACAATCCATAATAACAGAAATTTCCACAAAACGTTGCGGACATTTCAGTTGTGACCATTCTAAAATTGTCTACTAACTTAATTAATACTCCCTGTTTCGTGAATTATGATGTGAAGCATACTGTATCTATCTAGCTTGTGAAATACATGCAAGTATATTTATAAAATAACATGTACATAACGCGTATTCTGATTGGCGAAACCCGTGTTTGGATCAGGCCATCCAAACACGGAAGGCTATCGTGTTGTTGTTATTTTATAAAACAATTACTTTATGGTTTCCGTGTTTGGATGGAATGATCCAAACACTTGGGAATGTTGCTCGAGTTAAGAAAAGCGGGCAAAATCACTCGTCTTCGGCTCGTGATTTCGCTCGCTTTTCTTAACCCTCGCAACATTCCCGCGTGTTTGGATCAGGCCATCCAAACACGGAAACCATAAAGTAATTGTATAATATAAATCGTCGTGTTATTAAACAACTATTAAAAAGAAGTCGTTCTATCTGAGAAAATCGAGGGAAAAGTTCATGCAAATCAGGAAAATGCGGCATGTGGATGCAGCGCCTCATAAAACATTGATTTCTTTTGGATTTTCTTCATAAGGCATCAATACGTTTAACAAAGTTTTTGAAATGAATTCATTTCAAAGTTTACATTTGGACTTTATGGCATTTTAACTGACCACATTCACATAATCCAGTCCCAGTTTTTGGCTTCCGATCAAAATTGTCGGGTTTTTTTACATATTAAGTGTTACGTCAATGAAGTACTCACCTTTTTCTTTGTTAAAATCTCCCTTTCTTTATCTCGTTTTCTCCATTCCTCTGTCAACGTTCTAATCTTTTCCACCTCCTTCGTCTTCAACTAAACAATAGATAACACAAACGAGGACTAATATATATTACCTCTCTCTAGATACTGAAAAGAATTGAAAAAGATTAACAGGCCTTCCTTAAGTCGATGTGAAATCAGTGAAAATTTATATACAATTTTAAACCTGACCATGAACAGTTGCAAAAAAACGCAACCGCAAGCCTCAGGCAGGAATCGAACATGCGGCCCTACGAATATATAAATTAGTTAGACATACTTGTGCTGTGAAAAGTTCTTCCTGCTGCTGTTTCCACATTTCAAGTTCCAGAGCGGTTTGATATTCTGCCATCATCCTGGGGTCATTGTTTCTGGGATCGTTGTTCGTAGGTTCTCTATTCCTGGAATCTTCTTTCCGAGGTTTGGTAGGTGATTTACGCTGCGGACTTTCCGCATTGGACAAAGCCTGAAACAAGAACATATACAGTTTAAAAGATTTGAAATTTCCATGTAATGTGTATTTTAAAACTTTCATGATATCATGACGCAGTCTACCTCAGATCCATTCATATGAGCCTGCAAGTGCTCACGAGATACCGGTCCAAGATCTTCTAGTCCCAACACAACATTCAACTCTCCAATTGGCTTCCTTAAGAGACAATAAGCACTTATTTAAGGACACAGAAGGGGAAACAGTAGGGAGAAAAAGTATGGGTACATCTTTGATTTATCGCACATTGAACATACAGTAGTCACTCAAACCTACCTATCGTCAGCAATAATATGAACCCTCTCACTTAAAATTTGCCCGTAAGTACTCGGTTTCCCTCTCTACAAGAACAAAATATACAAGTTATCATCTAAAAAAAAGGAACGAGAACGAAAACATTCTAAAAGTTTAAAACCCAAGGGTACCAAACTTACTGCAGCTTTAAGTTTCTTAGCAGCAAACACGTGACCCAGTGTTACCCTGGCAACGCCAAGCAAGACATCTTTCGTCAGAGGATCACGATGCCAAACTTCAATGACTAGAGGAACACTGTGAAACAATTTTAGAATAAAATATTACAAAAAATCTTTCAAACCGTGCTGAAAAATCTAAGAAAATGGTTCGAAATTATAGGATCCCTCACAGAATGTAACTAAACTAACGTTGCCTATACTAGATAGCTTCAGAAGTTGATGATTTATTTTGCTGCTAAAAAAATATTACATGTGTATTATATTTACAATCGTAATAAATTTCAGATGAAATTGAAAGTATTTTTTGCCTCAAATACTGAAAAAGCTTTCATAATTGTTGTTAATGTTAATTTTAATAGCATATTGATGATCGTGCACATTTGTCTGCCGAGGTTAAATGTAAATAGTATTATAAATTTAAATAAATGACTGCCTCAGTTAATGCGTGTTTAAAGGGAGCCTAAATTAAAATAAGCTTGCTAAGAAAACAGAGTTAATTTCTTCAGATGGTAGAGAGTTAAATTAAAAATTTGAACATTGACATCTTATAGAAATATTCGTTCTACATAATGACAGTGAAAAGCTATCAAATTCCATGTGTTATAAGGATGAACTTGATTTAAAACAACTGTGGCGAAGCTAGCCACAACAACAGGTCAAGCTATGCAAATTTTTAATGATTTGCATTATTCAAACATTTAGAAAACGTGTTGTCTTTAACCTATTAGCCATTCCGAAGTTGATGAGAGGACTGGGGACGAGTGTTAAAAAGTGCCAAATTAAGAAGTGAACCAAATGACTAAAAAGACCACCTCAAAATTAGTAAGTATACAAAGTTTGAAGACGTTTACATGAATACCCTTCGAATAATAAGCTTTCGAAAATTGTGAAATTACTGATTAAAAGATTGTTTTTGGGACGCGCATCCCAAAAACAAAAATTACAATACATTTCATAGTAAACTACCACCATTTTCGAAAGCTTATTATTCGAAGGGTATTCATGTAAACGTCGTCAAACTTTGTATACTTACTAATTTTGACGTGGTCTTTTTAGTGATTTGGTTCAATTCTTAATTTGGGCACTTTTTAACGCTCGTCCCCAGTCCACTCATCAACTTCGGAATGGCTAATGCCATGGCTAGCTTCGCCACTGTCAAACAAACGTTGCAAAAATAGTTCTAAAGAGATCAGCAGAAACAGAAAAAGACGCTTGGTGTAAATCTATACGTTACCTTGATAGCGTTTCCTTTAACACTTCAGGATTGGTTGCAAAATCAAAAGCACAAAATGATTTCGGTAGCAGGACTTCCATATGTCGGCGCACTTCTACTGGGGGACTGGTGATTACTGGAGCTGCACTGCCGAAGAATGGGTACGAGTACCTGTGAATAAGAGTAAAAAGTAGCGTTAAAATAGCTGGACTGCTATCGCCCCACAGCATCTTAAGTAGAGTAGTAATAATTAACCCGTGTTTATTTACACGGCTGAATGATACTGAATGATTGTATTTTATCCACACAGTTCGGGAAGGGTTACTATCCCCCCCCCCACTTTTGGCATTCTGTCAACTCCCGACAACTGTTTCAAAGAGCACAATTTTTCACACTAATACACTAAAAACTTTTATACTTGAAAGAAAGTCTATAATAAGCTTAGTGGTTTACTCACTTCAAATAACAATTAACAGAAGAGGTGACTTGTAGATCACAAATACTGCGTAGATCAACAGAATAACAGAAATGATGAAATGAAAGTCTGTTGTATTCTGGTTTTTCCTCTGATGAGTCTGCATTTGGAGACGTCTGGAATTGCAATAAATTTTACTAAGTTTCTGTACGTTACTCATTTTACGAACTAAACGTTAACAGGTACTAAGTTACAAATAATGGTTTAATGAATTCAGCAGGGGCAATTTGCCTCGGGTTCCAAGTTTAAAAGGGGACACACGAAAAACCTAGAGGGCACTCAGAGTGACTGTATACCTCCGCCAGTGATGCATGGGCTAATTACGTATTCATTTTACAATGGGCTAATTACGTATTCAATTTACTCTGCTCAGCAAAACAAGACAAACTACAGTAAAAGGCTGAAAACAGTTAAATCTGAGTGCAAATTGCAGTTATGCTTCACAATCAAATAGGTCACATATATTGTTGGGGGGGGGGGGGGGGATGTGTGGGTCTCTGGTTTCCCGACCCTACCTAGCTTTTGGACGCCGAAATCCCGACCCTAAACTTTTTTATTGGACCATGCTTGTAAGTGTTTCCACTTAGAGGAAAACGTTTGTGGAAAATGGAAATTTGAGGCAATATTAGGGAAATTTATCTTTGGATGTGGAAGCACTAACGAAACAAACATGGCGTCCGGTTGTTAGGAAAATTAAAAAAAAAAGTTAAAAAAAAAGTTAAAACCGACATACCCTACCTAAGTTTTTACAAGAAAGCCTAATTTGCCTAATTTTCCATTAACTTCTTACCTTCAGATTCTCTGCCTTGTTCTCCACTCGTTCGTTGGTTTCACACTGTCCATTCTTCTGTGGAATTTCTGATCTCAGTGTGTTACTGGAACGTTCTTCGTCTTGTCCCTATGATTTCCAAACAAAGTTATTAGGCTAAAGTCCCACAAGTATAGACGGCGAGCAAAGTATAAATAGCAAAGCGCCCTTTTCAAATAGCGGGACTCCTTTTCAAATGCCAAAACGCCCTTTTCAAATAGCAAAACGCCATTTTCAAATATCAAAGCGCCCTTTTCAAATAGCGGGACACCCACGGTATATGTAATACTTGTTACATACCCGATGGCTGCTTGTTGGCAGCATATTTCCAACCGTATGTGTTTCTTGAGCAGGAGGCACATTCATGTCGTCATTCTTCAACACTACAGAAACGCCAATAGCTGGAAACTCGCTAGACCCGGAGTGAGGTTCGTCATTGGAAGATGTAAGAGGAAATAATGCTTGTAGTACGGCAGGAGCAGTCAGTGGTTCATCAGTAGCAATTAAAGAGTGTAGAGAGATGTTCGTTGTACCCAATGGACGACCACCGCAATACAACATGATCTACAATAAAATGTAACAATGGATGATTTCAGCTACTGCAAAGACGAAATTTTGATCTAGTCAACTGGGCTGCAAATTACTGTCGGACATCGAACAATGTCCGACTAAATTTGGCAAATGTCCGAGCAAAAGTAATTTTGCTCGGACATTGGTCAGATCACAAAAAAAAATCGTCACATTATACATTTTTTGCTGTGACAAAATCCGATTGCAAATTCACTCCATTTGTATTTTGCAATAAAATTTACGAGGCATTCTAGCATTTTACTTAACGTTGCGCCGGAATGGCTATACATATACTTGTCTCGTGACTTATATATATCTTGTGACGTATATATGTCCGACCAAATTTAGTGGTGTTGGTTTTTGTCCGACCAAATTCAAGTTATGTCCGACCAAAATTAAAAGTGATCGGGCAAATGTCCTGTCAAGTCAAATATTTATTTGCAGCCCTGAGTCAAGAAGAACGAAATCCATTACCATAGCTGGAAAGAGCATCTTAAAATGAGTGAAATTGCAAAGTTCGGTTGCAAATTGTTGAAAAATGAGGAAAATATAGCCCTGTGAAATTCGCAAATTTTGTATATATTTGCATTATGCGCGGGAAAATAACCATTTTTGAGCAGAAAGTGGTTATTTTTACAGTGATGTTTTCAAACTTTTCATGTTGTTTTGACATAAAATGTTGGTTGTGAAATGAGCATGTACGTGTAACACCACCAAAGCACGCGGTTTTATATTTCTTAAATAATCCCAGTGTCTTAAAATATACATCCCCTGTTGAGCCTGGATGCGTCCCTAGTGAGATGATCATGCAGTAAATACTGACCAAAATAGTGACCACTCGACTTTTAGTATACCTTACCTTAATTCCAGGAAAAATTTTCAGAAAAACTCGAAGTAGTTTCAGCTGAGAACGTATCCTCACAGAAGCCCGTTCTGGTGAGAAATTTGGTTGGAGTAAGTCAGAGAAGACGTCACTGGAAACATTATTGCCAAATAAACTATATTGAAAGTAAAACCCTTGACCATCCGGCACGACAAAGGATGATGGAATTAGCTACAGAAAAAGTACAAGATGTTAGTCAGATCTGGATACCGCTACCATACCTGTACGTGTTGGCAAAGTACATACCTAAGTACGCACAAATATATTATACGTTTTAGTATTTACCTTTGCTAAGTTCACAGCGTAACTAATGGTAACAGACAGAACAAAAATCTCTGATGACTCAGTGTTTGGTCCAAGCTGGTAAAAACCTTTCTCTTCATTCAAAACTGGTTGAAGACCCAGTGGATCTATGTCATCTGTAGAAAAAACAAAAACGAGTAAAGCGTTTTCGTAAAGTTAAGGGGGCAACGGGGGTAAGAGGGGGACGATGGCGACATCTCATCCCCCAATAATTTTCAAAAGTCGTTGAATGAATAATACTTGATTAGGTGCTTAATTTTTAATGTTTTTAATTAATTGAATGCAATTCAAAAGGAATCCATCAAGAGTGTAAATACAATGAATTTCAAATAAGATACAGCAAGTGACAACACACCTTTCCTACTGGGTGTGGAATGTTGTGGTGGTGACCTCTGTTCCTGCTTTTTCAATGAATCATCTTCTAAATTTAGCATAACTTGTATTTCTGGCTTCAGACGCTGGTATTTACTGTTCAGTAGTGGAAACCACTGTGGACGCTAGAACATAACATTCAGCATGCAATAATTCACAATTTTTAGCTGTCATTTTTTATACCTATAAATACCCTATTTTCTTCCAATTGATGTCAATAATTACAAAATCCTAATTAACAGATTGATTTTATACATAATGACAATCTAGGGTTAGAATCCACTTAGAAACCTTCAACAGCTTTTGATACTAAGGTACTGTAAGGTCACAAGTTTACTATCATGCTAGTCTAGTTTTTGTTTCAATGTCAAACAATCCTAATTTAAATAAACTGATCTAAAAGTGATATTAGTAATACTAGTGATACACAGCTGATTGCTGAAAGTATATGTCAAATATAGCTATCAATTGAATATCATATTTATTTCTAGGTAATACAGTTATTATACCATATACATGTATATTACATTCACTTATGTACATTTACTTATTCAGATTGATCACCTATAGTACCTGTAATTTTGCTTGGGCGGATCGCAAATCCAGAATGATATAGCCAACCATTTCTTTTTGGGATACAATTGTATCAATTGCAAAACACTACACAAAAGCAGACATGACAAAAGGGATTTTTTAATGTGTCCAATAAAGATGATGAAATAAAAGAAATTATATCAAATCATCAAACCTGTAGTTTTATAGGTGTTCTTTGTAACTTGTGCTGATGTAACGCCTTCTTATCTAACTCCCATGCCAACTCAGTTGTAAAGTTTGGACTCTCGGTATGATTAATTGGATCTGTGCACAACGTCTCGCCATCAAATTTTGCCTCGACAATAACTTGATGTTTTGGTCTTCGAGGGAACCTACGACCTGTGATGAGATAAATTTATAGTACTTCATTCCCAGCCAAAATATGTTAGGGGATTAGATTGCCAACGCATGACCACCTTATTAAGCTGAAAAACTCAGTTCTTTACACTTTTTACCATAACATGTGGACTTTTTCCTGATAAACATCTGTCATACTGTCATACTGATATATATATATATATATATATATATATATATATATATATATATATATATATATATATATATATATATATATATATATATATATATATATATATATATATATATATATATATAGCTGTCACACTGATATATCAATGTCTTAATGTGATTAAGAACCAATTTTGTCTATGTTATTATTTGCCATGAAGACGTTTCAAAACCTACAATATTTTTGGCATACTTCTCAAAATTAATACTTTGTTTATAGCTCTTTTTTTCTAGTTTATAGCATCATAGCATGCAACCTTTTAATCAACGTTGCTAAATATTCACAGCAATATAAGCAAAATTACAGAGATGATTTTCTATTTGGTGTACCGTCTAAAATCTCAACTCACAACATAAGGGGCGGACCATTTGATTTTTGAGGGGGGAGGTGGAAGATTCAGTCTGTGCAAGAATTTTTTTTCCGCCCAGGCGAACGAGACAGATATTTTTTCCTGTAAAAGTGCAGCGCAAGATATTTTTTTCCCAATATATTTGGCCGCAGGATATTTTTTTTGCCTCTCATAATAACGGCTTACAGTAACTTTAGGCTTTCATATAGCTATCATCGGAGACGTAGCAGGGGTTTTCAGTCAGGGGAGGCCGAGAACTGAATCCCAAGAGGGGCCAAGGAATTTTCACTGTGCTTTATTTTATATATGGTTATGTCTTAATGTTCCCCACACTAAAGCGTGCAAGTTTACTTACAAAGAATGTATAACTGCACCAAAACCTAAAACATGCAGGGATAGAGTAGAGTACTCGAAAATGGGGGAGGGTACAGTATATGAATGACCTGTAACCTTGGGGGGTTCGGGGGCATGCTCCCCCGAGAAAATTTTAAAATTTGAACCTCGGAAATGCTATTTCCTGCGTTTTCAGCCATGGATAATTATCTTAAGCCCAGATTTTCTCAGGGGGGGGCAACAATTTTGCCAGGGAACACCACTGGCTATCGTATGTCAGAGGCTCCAAAGGCGGTAGAATCCCTGTGATGTTATCCACTGTTCACCCCGTGTTCTTTTAAGCAAATGTGCCTGCTCAAAAATGCAAAATCTTGCAAGCCTGTGGACACAATACTGAAGTGAAGAGCATCAGTAGAGTTACATGTAGAAAATTTTTTTTTGAGCGCTCTCTTTTGCATGATATTTTTTTTTCTCGATTTTGTGCTGCATGATTTTTTTTTCTTTCTCCTTGGGTTGCAGGAAATTTTTTTTCGAAATCTTCCACCCCCCCTCAAAAGTCAAATGGTCCGCCCCTAAGTTTGTCTTATTTGATATAAAACATATAAAGTGATATATAAACTTTCTTTACAATTAGTCCGTATATTATGCTTGTTTTTCTAAATAAATCAACTTGTTTTTCCGGATCAAAATGCTGGATCATTTAATATCAATATGAAACCATAGATATCTTATATATACTAGATAGCGCATCTGATTTAGTAAAATTGAATTAGGCATGAATATTCCAGCGGTTACCCCCCATTCAGTGAATAGATGCCAGCCATGTTGGTCGTTCCCACTTGCTAATAAACGCTTAAAAACAACAATAACTTTCGTCATTTGAATAGTTTAAAAATGTATATTTGGAATAGGGTTAACTTAATGTTTAAGTTCCCTGTTTAAGAAATAAAAAAACATACGAATCTTCTCATTTCATGGGAACGACCCGAGACTGCAATCACGGCTTCAATTTTTGAATTGCAAAATAATTAGATGCACTATCTAGTGTATACAGCTATTTCAATTAAGATTGTCCACGAGCAAAGCGGAAAAGTCGAATACGAGCGCGAAAGGCTGCTGGGAATCGCTAACAAATTAATTAATTTTCAAAGCGGTTCCCAGCAGCCTTTCGCGCTCGTATTCGACTTTTCCGCCGTAGTTGCTCGTGGACAACCTTAATTGAAATAGCTGTATAAGATATATATGTATGAAACTCGATTTTCCGAGGTCTTTTAATTACTCGTTTAACTCACAACATTTTAAGAAACTTTTCGAAGAAATTTAGTCCCACATGAAGAAGTTGTAACAAGTCTACCCTGCTTGTGACGTCATAAAAAACTCAGTTAAGTAGGTCAATTATAATACCAAGATGCATGGCGGACTGCACATGTACTGTTTTTGGTCAAAATATTTTGAAAACCAAGCAAGGTACGAAAACGTTGTAAAGGGTCTTCATATGGAACTTTAAAGGTTCTTTCAAATAAGACAAAGTTAATTTTTAATTCCCATATATGCTTTTAAATTTATTTACGTCGCAATTTTAAGTCGTGTACGAACCTTGCTACGGGTGATTGTTTAACAACTTTAATTTGGTAACAGCGAAATAAGGCTAGACACGAAAGGGACGCGATGTCCCATGCTGGCTGTCAGCCCAAAATACAAAAAAATAATAATATAAAATTAAGTAAGATTTAATTAAAAATATATAGACTATGACATGAACACGTCTTATTCAGCGAGTATAAGTACATGTTAAATCTGGATCAAATATCTTAAGCTACGTTTACACGCTGCGATTTGTCGTGTACGATTCGTATTCTGGCGTATTAAAATGAGTACTGGCGCCATAATTCATTGCCTTTTCATTAAAAAGAATTTTCAAATGTAGCCAGCTTACGCGTGGTTACTCAATGGCATACACCAGAAAACGAATCGGCGTACACGATTGATTGCAGCGTGCAGTAAACGTAGCTTTAAAAAGAAGGTCTTTGTAAATCTTATACAAGACGTTTTAAAGCGATAGAAATAATTGAAATCGTATCAGGAGGAGCTACATTTAGGATAAAGTTCCACAAATTAACAATTCTATTAAAGTATATGACATTTTAAAAGTACTGCCAGTTATGCAATATAGGGTATCTGTATAGGTAAGACGATGAACCCCATCTGGTTCGACTACAGCCAACTGACGTCAGCTTTCCCATATCAGTCAAGGTCAATGAGACCGTTTCTATATTTATAGTAGAACAGTAAACCTCTGAACTCTCTATCACATAGGCAACAGGTAGAAGTTCCATTTTTTTAACGTTCCACGTGGGGCAAAATCTCAGCGTTTTATTCCCAAAATCCAGAGCGTAGCACGTCTTTGTACGTTCTCTATGCTCTTCATCAAGTTAGTAGTTTGTGGGGACCATACTTGAGAACCATCACTTTCCGTCGACTTTACCAGAGACAAATATATCATAGGCCTTTCCAAGGTTTCTACCGCCATATTGCAGGGGGTGCAAAAACATTGGGGCGAGCGCGCGGCCACCAATGGCGCCCATACTATTTCCTATTGAGTGAGTGAAAATTACCTTTTGACATTTTGTCCTTTTTCTCAAAAAATTTCTATACAAGCATATCCAATTTTTATTTTTAGATAATCGCTGGGTTTTTTCTGATATGTGGCCGAGATTTCTTGCTAATCGAAGGACAGGAAGTAATAAAAACGGCGGCTTTTGTTGTACAACTTGACCGACGTTTGAGCGATGATTTTGTACAAATATACAAATATAAACAGTAATAATGGCGGACACCAAAGGACTTACACACTTAATGGACAAATATTCTTCCAAAGATCGGTTAAACAAACGAAATAATAAGAATCATCGCTCAAACGTCGGTCAAGGTGTGCAACAAAAGCCGCCGTTTTTTATTACTTCCTGTCCTTCGATTAGCAAGAAATCTCGGCCACATATCAGAAAAAACCCAGCGATTATCTAAAAATAAAAATTGGATATGCTTGTATAGAAATTTTTTGAGAAAAAGGACAAAATGTCAAAAGGTAATTTTCACTCACTCAATAGGAAATAGTATGGGCGCCATTGGTGGCGGCGCGCTCGCCCCAATGTTTTTGCACCCCCTGCAATATGGCGGTAGAAACCTTGGAAAGGTCTATTATCCTCACATGTACATGTGTATCCGTTAACTCATAACAAGTCCTCCTCAAGATGCCCAAGGATTTGTTTGCAGTGGATCGCACAACACACGCCTCGATTCTTCGAAATAACCTTTAATTACCTTGAAAAATCGAGGCGTGCGTTGTGTTATATTCTTCACCATCGTCATAGCTGTTACTTCTGCTGTCACTTCCGCTCAATCTTTCAATTAAAATATTCCTGCGCTGCTCAATAGTCATAAACTATCGGCCCATTAGGGCAAATCGGCAAAACAAGTATATTTTGTTTTACCGATTTGTCCTAATGGGCGCATTCCTTAATTAATGGACAAAATTTTGATCTAGACAAGTCTGGACAAACATTTCGCCATAGCTTGACTGAGCATCACAAAATTAGTAATATTCCAGTAATTTCGTTGCGAAAGGTTGTAACTGATGCGGATAATATATCCCTGCGAAGTTTGTTCGCGTTTCCGGGAACGGCAAAACGGCAGGTTGGAACTTTCTTCGCAAAATTTCCGTTGAACGTTTTCGTTTCATATTTTCTTTCTTGTGTCGAAAGAATTGTCATGCATTGCAGTTTTAAAACAGCAAGTTCATTTACTCTTTATTGCCTGTACCGTAAAATTTTTCTTTGCCTGACGTTTGCTGTATACCGCGAAGCTTTAAAATAAACTCTCTATCTTGTATTACGCACGGGAAATTGATTCCGCTTTCTGAGAAAAGGTATCAATTTCTCGTGAAAATGACTGAAAAACGGCAAACTTTGCAGGGCTATATTATCCGCATTTTACAACTTCGGTATATTACTAATTTTGTGATGTTTTTGCAAGCCTTGAAAAAATATTTGTCTAGACCAAAATTTCGTTCATTAGGGAATAGGTCCAAACATTTTCAAGCATGCAGGTTAATTGACAATGTAGTGAAGATTGTGGTGGAACCTTTGAGCTTTTCGATACCACTCGAACTTGCTCTAAAGGCCTGATGCCACGAGCGCTTTTCCTCGGCGAAATGCGAATTATTTCGCCTGTTTCTTTTGAATCCCGACTACTCGAATAAATTATTTCTACTTGATTGCTCACAATTCAAAAGAAACAGGCGAAATATTTCGCATTTCGCCGAGAAAAAGCGCCCGTGGAATCAGGCCTTAAGACCAATGATCATTTTGGAATTTAATTCATCTTTGAAACAGTTTAGTTCCAAGCCTCGTTTACAGATCAACAGCCAAACATACATGAAACATGTTTAATTGGTTGTTGTTCTACGAACAAGGCTTATTTCAGTTCGTTCAAGACTGTTTCCACATTGAATAACAGTTGTATGAAAATTTTGTCGCTGGCGATCACTATTAACTTTTCCGTAACCCGACTTTTCAAAAGAACAGGAGATGCAATTTGAACAGACAATGACGCCAATTTCAACAGGCAGCACAATCGGTAAAATTCAGTAGAATTTCAAAATAAGATATCAAAGAATGTCATCACGTCAATGTTGTAGAAGAATTGTCAAGGATAGAGAGGCGCTGTTGAATGGCACTTCGTATATAGTTTCAAATGAGTAGCCAACCTCGTTCCCAGGCCCTTCCCTCGTGTTGAGGAAAGAATAAGCAGAAGTCGGCCAAGTCGTCTGAAATTAATATATTAATATAATTCATCTCAGACGACTTGGCTGACTTCTGCTTGTTCACCAACTACTTGAATACCATTACACGGTATTCAAGCAGCTGGTCTACAAGCAGATTCAGGGCACTCGACTTTTCCAAAGTCCTTTCCAGTTTTTTTCGCGGTTCGTTATTAACTATATGCGTCACAAATATTAGTTATATCAGGGAGGTGCCTCGCATGGGATTTCTATACAGGGTGAAAGAAAAAAAGGTAATCGAACTTCAGCGCGCTATTATACGTGAATCGCTCGGCGTATGAACAATTGGTTTTCATATTTGGAAAGATCAGGCTTTTAGCTATTGAATGACATGCTTTTCATACCAAGTGGAGAAAAAATAAGCATGTACGAGGCCGATCAAAAATGTTAGTCAAAATCGCATATTTTCACCTCTGTGCCTAATTAAAACAATACATAACAAAAGAAAAAGCAATTAATCACTAACGTGTCGTAGCTTAGCTAAGATTTATTCTTACTTTATGAATATGTGCGTAGTTTAATGAAATGAAATTCATCAACTTAAGTACCAAAGGGAGTTCATTTTCAATGGTTTTAGACCCAACTCTCAACGGTGAAAATATATGTGATTCTGACTAACATTTTTTATCGGATTCGTATTTGCTCATTTTTTATCCATTTGGCATGAAGAAGATATCATTCAACAGCTAAAAGCATGATCTTTCCGAATGTGCTAAAATCTCGTTCATGCATGTACTCAGAGTAATTCGGATACAATAGCACGCTGAAGTTCGATTACATTTTTTTTATACACCCTGTACATAGTCTCCCTTACACTCCTTTCCTTTTGGGCCAGTTAATAATAATAATTTTTTAATGTAATCTGTAGCACCAATAAAGTTGTTAAACAAGGTCAATAAACAATAAGAAACGGCAAGGATTGTAAAATAATCATCATGCAGTCCAAACACAACAAACAACATAAACCAGCATAAAGAGCAGACTTACAAAATCCCCACTGTCTGTTGGTACTAATAATTTGGCAGTGACAATTTCTGCTTGTTCAGATTTCACACCGATAGCAGGTTGAATGCCATCCGTTTTATCTGCAGAGACCAGCGGGATTTCACCATTTACCTAAAATTATAAGATGTTGTTTCATAAGATTCATTAAGCATGATTATTTCCAGGGCACTAGACTTTCCCAAAGTTATTTCCAGTTTTTTTTAGCAGTTCGTTCGTTATTAAACACGCGTCTGACAAATGTTAGTTATATCAAGGAGATGCCTTTTGCATGGGATTTCTATATACATAGTATATCGTTCGCACCTTTCCTTTTGGGACAGTTGATATGTTGTACCAATTATTTTAATGTTATTTGCACTACCACTGAACTAGTTGTTTATTAGTAGGCTTAGTAGTGTAATCTGTAGCACCAATAAAGTTGTTAAACAAGGAATAAACATAATTGTTTTTGTTTGTGGAAACACCACGTAAATTTATTACTGCAAAGCTTTCGTCGTCCGTAAGCCCGGATGCTAATAATATGTCAGCAAATAATAATAATATGTGCTAATAACATGTTCAAAGAACTTATTAAGGAATAAACAAACAAACAAAAAAGGATTAAAAAATAATCATCAGCTTAACACAACAAACGACAACCAGTATAAAGAGCAGACTTACAAAATCCCCACTGTCCGTTGGTACTAAATTGGTAGTGACAATTTCTGCTTGTTCAGATTTCACCCCAACTATTTGAGTACCATCCAATTTATCTATAGAGACCAGAGGAATTTCACCATTTACCTAAAATTATAAGGTGTTGTTTCATAAGTTTCATTTAGCATGATTATTTCCAGGGCACTATAGACTTTCTCAAATTAAGTCCATTCCAGTTTTTTGCGGTTCGTTATTAAATACGCGTTTCACAAATTTTAGTATATATCAGGGAGATGCATTGCATGGGACTTCTATATACATAGTTTCGTTTGCTTCTTTACTTTTGGGCCAGTTGATCATATTATACTGATTATTTTAATGTAATATGTAGCACCAATAAAGTTGTTTAATAAACAAGGCCAATAAACAATAAACAAACAAGGATTGTAAAATAATTATCAACCCAAACACAACAAACAACATAAACCAGTATAAAGAGCAGACTTACAAAATCCCCATTGTCTGTTGGTACTAATATATGCATTTTGGACGACTTGGTAGTGACAATTTCTGCTTGTTCAGATTTCACACCAACTGTTTTATTTATAGCGACCAGCGGGATAATCCCGCTGGTCGCTATAAATAAAACAGTTGGTGTGAAGCCGGGATTTCACCATTTACCTAAAATTATAAGGTGTTGTTTCATACGTTTCATTAGGCATGGTTATTTCCAGCGCACTAGACATTCCCAGAGTGTTTTTCCAGTTTGCGGTTCGTTATTAAATACACGTTACAGATTTTAGTTATATCAGGGAGGTGTCTTGCATGGAACTTCTATACATAGGGGCACATGGTTTCGTTTGCAATTCTTTTCTTTTGGGCCAGTTGATATCATACTGATTATTTTAATGTAACTTGTAGCACCAATAAAGTTCACTGAAGGGCTTGAATCCGGGCTTTTCCATCAATTTAGTTTGTTGTACGATCATCCAGATTACATTTTTAAAAATTATTTCTGACGTTTCGGTTACCTACATGGCAGCCATTATCAAAGACGTATTACAGTTACAAAATTTACAGTTATAATAATTTTATCTTGCGTCAAAAATGACGTGCGCGTGTTCGTGATGTTGTTTGCTCGCGCGCCTGCGTTCAAGGCATGAGAGCCTGCGTTCATGCGTGATTAGTCCAGCGCATGCTCCTGGCATATCGAGGCAAATGTAACAGGTGGGAAATTTGTCTGCGCATGCGCTACATTTTTCGCGGTTTAAGAGAAAGAGAACTCTTACTCTCGTTTGACTGGGGCATGTGAGTTAAGAAAACTCTCATGCAAACTCTCGCTTCTCAATTCTCGCGCAACTCTTGTTCTCGTTTGACTGGGGCATGTGAGTTGTGAAAACTCTCATGCAAACTTTCGTTTGTCAATTCTCATGCGAACTCTTGTTCGCGTTTGTCTGGGGTATGAGGGAGTTGTGAAAACTCTCATGCAAAGTCTTGCTTTTCAACTCTCGCGCAACTCTTGTTCTCGTTTGACTGGGGCATGTGAGTTGAGAAAACTCTCATGCAAACTCTCGCTTCTCAACTCTCGCGCAATTCTTGTTCTCGTTTGACTGGGGCATGTGAGTTGAGAAAACTCTCATGCAAACTCTCGCTTCTCAACTCTTGCGCAACTCTTGTTCTCGTTTGACTGGGGCATGTAAGTTGAGAAAACTCTCATGCAAACTCTCGCTTCTCAACTCTCGCGCAACTCTTGTTCTCGTTTGACTGGGGCATGTGAGTTGTGAAAACTCTCATGCAAACTCTCGTTTTTCAACTCTCGCGCAACTCTTGTTCTCGTTTGACTGGGGAATGTAAGTTGTGAAAACTCTCATGCAAACTCTCGCTTTTCAACTCTCGCGCAACTCTTGTTCTCGTTTGACTGGGGCATGTGAGTTAAGAAAACTCTCATGCAAACTCTCGCTCAACCCAGTCTTGTTCTCGTTTGACTGGGGAATGTGAGTTGAGAAAACTCTCATGCAAACTCTCGCTTCTCAACTCTCGCGCAACTCTTGTTCTCATTCGACTGGGGCATGTGAGTTGTGAAAACTCTCATGCAAACTTTCGTTTGTCAATTCTCATGCGAACTCTTGTTCGTGTTTGTCTGGGGTATGAGGGAGTTGAGAAAACTCTCATGCAAACTCTCGTTTCTCCACTCTTTCCCTCGTTTGACCGGGCTTTAGAATTAGTACAAAAAACATTTCAAAAAAATATAAGCACCAATGTGATGACTTGCCTGGTAGGATTGCACAGGTAGTCCCATGTAGTTCGACGTTTTCTCTGGCATCGCGAACATGGCGATCTCCAATTCCTTTTTTGCTTTGCCTTTCGGCCTTTCGGCTTTACGTTTCCTCTTCTTTTGTTCGGGATCATGATTACGACCCAAACAACGGGAAATTGTATTTCCCATGTTCTCGAATAAATTCTTTTACATTCGCAAACAAGAGCAAGAATAGATATAAGATATTACATTTCTTGCGAAAAAATTACAAACTTTAAAAGCTGTTAAAACAATTTTCCCAATCTCACAGGCTCCGTACAGAATACTTTGCAACTGTGAAATAAAGCAATTAGATGCAAACAATAGCTAATGAGCGCGCCTTTAACCAATCACGTTCAGGCTGCGATAGTGACGGCAGTTAATTGGATAATTGATAATGCGGGCGTTTTCCTAAGGCTTGCGCCTTGGCCTAGGCGTTCTTTGTTGGCCCGCTACAAAAATAAATTTTATGGTGGCAAGCAAAATGGACAAATTCAGCATGATTCGATGTTGAAACAAGAGAATAATAGAATTGTAGAACAATGGAGCCATAGAACCATAGTAGATTGTTTTTAATAGATGGTTATTTATTTATTTATTTATTTATTTATTTATTAACTTTACAACCATACATAAAATAGACTAAAACACTACATAATATGGTTGAAGGTATGGTCAACAGGACATGAATAGCCCCATATGAAGACCAACCTTAATGAAAACAAACTA